CTCTTTCCTTCTTTCTATGCGGCAATTTATACTGCAATTTCAGGTAGTCGTGGGAAACGCAGACGAGTTGGATGGACAGGGCGTACTTTAAGCGACAAGCCACTTTGACAACAACCAATCACTTTGCCAATGATGATCGTACCCTACGGTAATCGAATCGGCCGCGTGTGTAGCGTTAGAACACAATTCTGTTATTGTCGTGTATTAATGATCAATGCTGATGGATTAGTCTTGATATAATCTTTATATTTGGAATGCTTTTAAGAGGAGCGGTTTAATTAAACCCGTCTACGCGTCTTGCTTTCTCCAGGTTTGTTTTCAAGGTATGATTGAGTAAATGAATCAATCCTTCTCCTCCCGTAGCTAAATCAATGTTCAATAACGATGCATCAATAAACGTCTAATAAATGGTTGGTAAATATCGGGATGTATATTAATCCCGCTATCTAAATATTAATCATTGCAAGATCAAAGCGCGAGTACAAACAGTTTCTCTCGATTTTTCACAGGCCTATATTATGTAGGTCGCGTCTCCGTACCAGGAAGTTCTCTCCATTTATTTTATTCCGCGTTATTCGAAAACGAGAGGAAAACGGGGGTTTTATTCCATCCGGTCCGTTATGCGTTCCGTAAGGAAACGGCCAGCCGCAGACAGCCGTTTAAAAGGATCCTAAAGTCATTTGTTTTACCAATTCCATAGGACTTATACATATACGATTTACATGTCATTGACACATTACTACATATTAAGGCCGCGGTACAGATTTTCGCATAAAGCGGCATCTATACAATGAGATTTTAAGGCGTAAAACTTAATTTTAAACCTTAAGAAATTGATCATTCACAATCGAATGTGAGGAAAATAACCGATTATGATTGGTCAATTTTTTACTGCTTAATGCTCAAAGCTGAAGTTTTATGTCTTAAAATCTTATTGTAGACGCCGCTTAACGCATAATGCGTAACGCATGAAAGAATCAACCAATTAAAATCCTTTCTCTCCTTCCATTTCCCAGAAAAGAGAACTTTGGTTGATTCTCTTATGCACTATGCGCTATGCAAAAGTTTATGCTGCAGTCTTTACTACATCAATATCGCACGCACACATATGTACACTTTTCTTACTAATTTTTTATATTAGATATTTATTATTATAATTTTTAAAACTCGGTATTGCTTTATGTAATCCCTAATGCCTAGTTCAAACTAAATGGTCTGTTTTTTCTATGACCGAACACTGTATAGACTTTTGGAACTTAAAGTGAGATAGGTATATGATTGATATTTTGCTAAAGTGAGAAAGATAATTCTAGTGCAGTCTAATGAAGGAAAAAACAGACCTTTATACATACTAGATAAAACTTTTACACGTACAAAATACAAAACTTGTATATGAAGTAAATATTGTTACGAGTTGATGCCAGAAGCCGATAACAAAACTGTAATTTTCCATCTAAAAAAGGTTATCCTTGCCAAATAAATGTATAAAGTTTGTAACATAATCGTTTCTCAGTTATTATTGCTCGAAAGCTTAACGAAAAAGAAGGTTACATTACAAATAAATTAATAAGTTGCTTAAAATAAATTACATTTTTTAATTGATAAGCTTGAGAAATGAAAATAAATTTATTAATTTTTAGAATTTAAATAAAATATAAATTATATAAAATATAAAATATAATTAAAAGAGCATTAATTTACTGCGGTACGTCTGGATAAATGCTTTTCAATAGACTGCACATATAATAACCATATATTCTGAAGTTGACAAGCTATGCATTGATAATAAGGTCAAATTTTGAAATTTATAATCCAAGAATATATAAAGAGGAACTCAAAGTAGATGGTGTTCTGAAATAATGAATGAATTGTAATTAAATTTTTATGATCGTAATCTTAATTAATATTTTATATTCATTGAAGGAGATCGCTGTAAGAGTCGAAGCGTTCGTTTGAACTTATTTACGAAGGTACTTTTATTTATATTAACATAAATTAATAACGTATCGCGAAAAACAAATAGCGAGGCTATAACAGCTCATGGTTTGGACTACATTAGCATTCGTACTTTAATTATATGTGTGGAAAAGAATTTTTTAAAGGCAGAATTTTGTAAAGACAGTTAGGAAAATATTTCTTAGCAAAAAATAATTGATAAAAACACACAGATGTCTTTAGGTCTGTTCTCCAAGTTCCGACGCGTTATACTGCGACGGATGACGGCGGCGGCGGCGCGGCGTGGAATTATGCAGAAGGATTTGATGCCTGGATACTCGCTACTCGTTCCGCCCGTAATCGACCTTTGCGTGCCTCGAGTGCGGCCTTTACACTCGCGCCCTGTTATTTTTAGTGTTTCTCCCCTATATGTGCTCGTACGTCGCGCGCGCAACGGTGAAACGGCATCGTAGATATGGGTCGAGAATTTTTCACCGGCGCGCCGCACCGCACCGGCACCTCGTTACGCGTTTAGGTGTAATTAAAAATGCTCGGAGATCCTCAGAGGCATATACGCCCGCACGTTTATCATTGCTCACGTTGTTTTACGAGCGTCTAACGAGACACGTCCACGAGAAGCTATTTTATCTCTCGCTACTCTTTACAGTTCCGATAATTACTACATGACGACGAGCGCCGAGTTTCGATGAAATCGGAAGGGGAGGAGAATTCTGTCTCTCTCGAAAAGAGAGAATCGATCGCGTGAAAGGAGAAATGAGGCTATATGATACTCGGGATATTCTGTATAGCTGCATTGTACATGGCATTCATTTTTTACTGTTTTACTGTTTGCAGTGAAATATTTTGAAATTCATTCGCTGTAGTCAACAAAGGGAAAGCAGAGACACGGCGACGAGGGTATATTATTTGAATAACGTTTGTATTTATCGGGTCGGTATTTTCATAACTCTCTCGTCAATGTTTTTAATAAATGGTCAGTATTATTTGCTCGTATTTCTATTAAAACCTGACGTTTTATTATTTAACTCGTTCATTCATTCATATTTAAAAAAAATACCTGCCGGATAAAGACGTCCTTTTCAATCATTTTTCATTTCGAACGTAGATTACCTTTAATCTTTAAAGAGTTTTAAATAGAGTGTATAAATTATATCCTCTCTTCCTCTCTGTCTGCCCGTCTCTCTGTCTCTTCCCTTATGACTGCTATTCACAAAGTCAGTAATATAAAAATATACGTTCCTAAAATAGAAGTATAGCCCCAAGCGTGGCACATTGCCTGACGTAAAAATGGCGTAAATCTTTATTACAACGAATAAAATTAGCGGACGCGTACCTATTTATATACGTGACATGCAAGCCACGTATTTCCCGGTTAAGAATAAATTCCACCGTCTGCGTCAATCTATCGTTATAATCCTGCGAGATATTGATAGTTTATATTTTCCTCATTCCGGTCGATGAATTCATTTTCGTTGACATTTATCTCACTTATGTAATTCGCGATACACAATTAACTATTTTAATGAGGCTACACACTGAATAGTTTTTGTAAAGGATTAAATGGATGGAAAAGAGAGAAGAGAAGAAAGGAGGGGGGGAGGGGGGAGTATTAAATTGAGCAAAGTGTTCCAGAACATCACCTTTAGAAAGACAGCCGTAAAAGTCTTGATCTTAATAAAAAATTCGAAATTGCATTTTTCCGAGCTAAGATTGCAAAGACCGTAATTTACTGCAAATTTTTAACGTTTAATTTTGAATGTCCCCCGTAGATGAAGCTTGAAAATTAAAATTGTATTAAGGCAAAGTCTGCTGGAAATCAAATTAAAGATTTTATTAAGTTAAGCTTATTTCGAGAGGAATCCGAGAGAGTAATTCCGATCGCTAATAACTCAAAGAGAATTGATGCGTCGATATATTTATCGGAAACGAGTCATCGCTTTAAATGGAATAAAATATTCGTGGTGCGCCACGGTACCGTCGGATATAACCATTTATCTCTCGGCTATATCCTTCCCTCAAACGGGCGGAGATCTAAGAATATCTGAGTGTCGTTTCGAAACGGGAAAACGGAAAGAGATGTAACGCCAAAAAGATCAAAAAGATTTCATTCTCGCTCGTCTCGACGTCAATCAAGTTTTAAAAGGGACGTCTGTTAAAAATCGATGCTGCTGTACGAACCGGGAAACGTCACATTTGGTCGCAACATTCTATCGGCGAGCATCAGTGAGCTCGGTTCTCTTTTTCCCCTTTTTTTTTTCACATGATATGGATTTTAGGTAGCTTGTCGACGTGAAATGAGAACGGACGCGTGGTCGACCACCACTCCACAAAACCACACACGTATATTCTGTTAATAATAGCATTATATTTGAAATAGTAATGTTTACAACATACAATTGCAATTTGTTACTACAGTTCCAAGTGTTCGATAATGTCTCTTGCAAAGATGTCACGCACCATCGTCTCGTTCCATCCACAAAATTCCTTATTTCACGCTTTGCTCTCTCACACACACACATCCACACACATATTCTCTCTCTCTCTCTCTCTCTCTTACATTCTTCTTCTTCTTCTTTTTCTTCTTTTCTCTCATCAACTTTACGCACCGCTATGCTTAGGGTAGCTCGCGAGTCACAGGGGATCGGGGGGTGGAAGCGGCAAATCTAATCGCAGACTAACGGCGTCGAAAAATAAGCCGGCGTGTAATGTACAGTAACGGATGCCATGTACCCAGGGGGGAATGTGGTGCAGAGTAACCGAGGCGACAGGCGGACCGGAAATCAATCAATCTCAACGTGTATATTGTCGTATATATTGGTGTATCTGTAAACGCTCGAGAGCGCTATCCGGTTCCACGGGTTCGCCAGATCTCGAGTTACGTGGGTCACGTGTCGCGACCGCAAAACGTAACTCCTGCTTACCGTCGTCCCGCCACCTTCCTCTCATTCATTCACGCTCTCGCACTTTCAGTTTTTCTCCCTTTCGCTCCGCGTGCAATCACGATAATCGTATAGAACCAATTGCTCAATTAATAATGGTTTCACTCTCCCTCTCTCTCTCTCTCTCTCTCTCGTGATCAGCTGCTGACGCTATATCGAGTTCTATGTAATCATAATCGTGTACCTATGGACTATGGCACTTGGTGCAGCTAGAGTTGAGATTTACGGGTTGGATACGGCTTAAACGGTGTGTCGTTTAGGTACTTATCGTTTAGAGCGTTATCGATGCTGTCGTTAAGAGTATAGTGGTATGCGAGACACATGGTAATTCGTGCGGTTTTTTTTTTCTTCCCGTTTATTGTGGTATACGAGCCCACGAGCGGCCGTAGTGCGCCTCGGTCCGATCACGCGAACCGCCCCCATTCAGGGCCCGACCCAAAGTCGCGTTTCTAAGAGCTTCCGCCGCCACCGACCGGGGGAAGGCCGAAGGGTGAATGGGGGTCGGTTGGCCGTTTGCCCGGACCTCTTTTCTCCACCCCTCTTTGCGAGCGTACGCGTCATTAGGCGCCCTCAAATGAGCCAATTTAACGACACCGGCGTATATCGCGCGTCGGACCAGCGCAAGACCGCGCGCGACTCGCGCTCGAAAGTGATTTATGGCGAAAAGGTCAAGGTTTTTCCGCGCCTTAAACACCCTTTGTGACCGACTTTACGACTTTTCCGCCTCCTCTCGCAGACGTTAACTGTAACGTTAACTTAACGCGCGAGCAGAGATAGGTAATTCTATTAGCCGAGCGTAAAGTGACGTTGATACAGTCAGCTTTTATGTCGCGAGCCATGGTTAATTAACTCCGTTTAATGGTTCGCGTTGTACCGAGGATCGTTATTTCAACTATTTTCGTGAAAAATTATTGCGCAGAGTAGAGGTGAAGGGATCGATAATGATTAATTGTTATTTTAAATAAATGCGACATATGCGGCAATTAGTCCAATATACACATAATGATCATTTTTGTCGTTCGTCGCATACCTTCTACGGAGCGTGTGGAAATTACATGAGAAAAATACGAAGCGTAAAAACAAAATGAATTTAAAGAAATTAAAAAAAAAGGCAGATAATTAAACATGTGAATTATTTCCTCTCACACTCGAAATTATTAAGGCAGTGTGTGCGACAAGATTGATCGTCAGTTTCCATTCTAAATACACCGTCTATTTATTTTCTAAATGCTCTCGCAAAATATATGAGGCATAAAAACAAGAGGAATTAAAAAAAAAAAAGACGAATGACATAATTAAACATGGGAATTATCTTCCCTCACGTTCAGAATTATGAAGGCAGCGCGTGCGACAAAATCGATCGTCTGTTTCCGCCCTAAATATTCCGTCTATTTCCTAAATACTCTCTCAAAATGTACGATTTAGGTGTTGTGCGAGATTCGGTGTACTGCACGAGAAAATATTGACACCCCCGACGCGAGGCGCGCTCTAAGCCGTCAGCCGCGCTCACGTCAGCCCCATCGGCGTCGTCCCTTTAAAGCGCTCGGTTCTCCAAAGGGACGCGAAAGCGTACCTCATGCAGCACTTTGTGCAGCGAACGGGAGCGACTGCATCGGGCCGGGAGTGAAACATTAATCGCGTTACTTCTTACCCTAGCCTTACACGTACGTATTGTACTGTACACTCCGACGGTCCTCCCGTCGCGAGCGATCAGCGTGAGCGATTCTCTCGCATCGATTCGCTTGATGCATTTCCGTCGCATGACGACGACCCAGTAATCGTAATGTCGAGAGTTCGAGTGTTCGCTCAAAGAGATACTTCAAGTAGGCCTTTTGTACAAATCGGCTCGCGCAAAAAAAAAAAGGTTTATTTTTTTATTGCTACACTAGACTGCGCTACAATTTTTTTTCCTCTCCTTCGTCAAATTTCAAACATACAAAAATATTAGGCGCCTATATTCTATCATATTTATTTGAAACTTTTTTTTTATTTGTATTATCACCTATTAATTATTGACATTATACAGTTAATATTCTTGAACACTTTGCAGCAAGTCAATTTCACAAATCAGCATCACAAATCAATTTTTTAACTAAAACTTTATAAAATGATAAATATATAAGGAGCCTAATATTTTTGGACAAGGCTGTATTTTATTTTAAGTACAAAGGTGTGCTATTAGCTCAGCTATAAAAAGCAGATCTAAAATCATCTTCTCCGAAAGAGTTTAATCCGAAATCCGTGGGTATATCCTATGTTGAATTCGATCATTCGTAGTGGACTGGATTAATGCACATTAAAGGCTGCTTTATATAAAATATCTATATGCGGTGGCATAATTTAATCAATTTTCATAATAAAATAATACATTTGTGTTCTGTTAAATAATGTGACAACATTATTATTGGGTACTTAATCGGTTTAAATATTTATGTGCTTTTACATTTATAACTTTGCTAATTTTATATACGGCAGTATATACTATATTTTTAATGTGCAGAAATCTTTAATAAAATTCGTGACTACTGACCGAATTTGTATCGTATCTCGTACAATCGATGAGAAAGAAGAGTATTTTTGTCTGTTTTATTTTTCTTGTATAAGCGAAATTGTGGAAACTGTCATGTCGATTTCTTCCCGCTTTTGATTTTTACTTCCCCTTCGCTTCGAAATCTTTCCAAGTGTAAATCGCGAGCAAGGGTATTTCGCGTGTGAATATTAGAACCTCTACATTCTATAGGAATCAGATCAAGGTTGAAACTTTTTGCGCGCACCGATTTATTTATGCACGCGGGAGAGACTATAAGGGTGTTACAATCAATTCCCGGTGCTATTCGAAGAGTCCATGGCGCTTCGTCTCAATCCCAAACCGGAAACGCTTTGCGCTTTAGCACTTTGGGTTTTCCTCTAGGTAGAAAAGCAGCTTAGGATCGATCGCATCCCGGCAGTCTTGGTTAATTAACAGTTTAGATCGTATCTACGGGATGATCGATAAAAACGTGCTATTCCAGAAGCGTGCAAAGATGCTTTACAAACACCGATATATATATTGCACAGGCATGAGAAAACAAAATAACTCCAAGTCTACGGGATTCTCTTACAGAATATATTTAAAGAGTCTCTTTCTCTTTCCTTCTTTATCACGTATCGCATTTCCCGCTTGTGAAATCTTAATATTAATAATTATTTCATTATATATAGTTAATTAAAAATTGAGTTAATTTGGCGGTCGCAGTACAACAACTGTAAGGAACTTTTTACACTAAGAACTGTTTCAGCTTGCAGTCGTTAATAAATTGTATATATATATATATATATGTATATATATACTTCAGCCAATTTTTTTTTATAAAATTCATCTATTTTAAAAAAGATACGTTTTGGAAGATGATTGCATTTTCGTGAAATACGGAGAATTAAGAATTATTCTGTGCGAAGTAAACAGCGAGCGCCACGTTAGTAGACCGTAGTTTAATAATTGACTAACGTTCCAAGTGGCTATGAGGGCCGTGTGCAGCCCTAATGAAGTTATTCTGAGTCTCGAGCTGTCCCGGTTTATAGTCACATAGTAGATACATCCATAACATGGATGAATAAAGAAAACTTTGTTAACCGCGCATGACCGACTGACCAACTAACTCTCGTTAACAATTCGTCCCCTAGAATTATGCTTCAGCAGAATGACGTCTCTAGTGTTTCTACCCGCGACAAAGATGGCAAAAGCGAGAAATGGCGACGAATAGTTAACTGCCTTAAACGTTAAATACACCGATCATACCTAACCGCCTCTAGCGATTTCTCAGAAATCACATACACACCCTTTAGTAAAATCACCTTCTGTTTGCAAACTTGGCGATAAATGAAGACATTTTCTTTAAGACCTTTTGTCTATTCACTGCAACCTTGAATAGTAACGTTAGAAGTGAGAAAAATGTAGGTATGTATACTGCAAATTCTTGCAAATGATATCAAAATAAAAATATTTTTAAATAAAACAATCGATAGAACAGATTTGTAAAATATACCGAAAATATTCCTCTTGTATTCTAGTAATCAATAAATAACCATATATTTATAATCAAATTATGCCTAACTAGAAAACGAAACAAGTTACATGAAAACAGTCGAATGAGAGATAAATATAAATTTCATTCCATCCCGAAACAAAAGAGGAGTTTTCGTGTATTTTTTTTTCAAGTGTACTCCAATAAATATTGTTTTATTGAAAAATATTTCTATTTAATATCTTTTGCAAGAATTTTTGTGTTTTTTAAAAATCCGTAGTGAGCGGTCAGGAGCTTCAAGGTAAATTCCATTTCGAGCCGGCCAAAAGATCCGCGTAGACAAAAGATGACTGATTTGAGATTAAGTATCTTTATACATATAACGCGCACGCGAAGCAATATGGGATACATAATTAATCACAAAGAGCGTTATTAATTGACGCGGGTGCGAACGGTCAATCCAGAGCTAACTGACTCCGATTAGCGATTTTAGCTGCCTCATTCCAGATCATGGCTCTGTATTGTAACGGGAGGGAATGAAAAATACTTGGACGGTCGATTAATCAACGTTGCGGCGCAACCGGCACGTAATAATCGTGCGCGTTCGTACCTCGTCGCCGCCGTGCCGGTTCACCAAGTTCGGAGCGATGGAGTCTTTAGCGGAAACAAAGGGAGATTAGCGCGCGCGGAGGATTACATCGAACGCGGATTCTGTGGGTGAAATTCACGCTAGATATTACGGTTGGATTACGGCTTCGTCTTAACCCCTCTGACGCGCTGCGAAGTCAAAGTTTCCGGGCTAATATAATTTTCATCGGTGGAAGGAGGCTTTCGCGGCGATGGCGATGCCGTAACTCGGGCGCGATAGGGGTTGAACATCCAAAGTCCCGTATTGTCCACGACGTTAGCGTTGAACTGTATCTGAAACGCGATATAACGAAAAGTCCCGAATAGCTTAATACCTTGGAAGCGGGAGCCGGAGACTCGACGACCCGCGAATAAAAAGGAGAAAATGTTACACGGGGTGTCCCAGATTTTTGCGCCCTCCTGCCTTTCGACTGGCAGATTTTTAGGCAAACTTTTGGAGCCAATATTTTTCCTCCGGAAAAATCCAATTGGCGCGCATTTGCTCCCAAGGTATTGAACTGGATTTTTACGTTTTAAAAAATCCTGATGAACGAAACGGTGAATATTTATAATGCGCGTTCGATGAAGAAAAAAAAAAAAAAGAAGAAAAGGGAAGAAAATTACGATGCACCGGGGTTATCTCCGACGTGCTGAAAATGCATCGGAGGGTTAAACGAATTGGCACTGCGCTGAGCTCGATTAAATTATCGTTGAATTTATATTCGTTCCATCGCGGAGCCTTCGCTCGCTCGCTTACGACGTAATAAATGCGAAAGTGGTGACAATAGTCCCTGCCCTTCATTCTTACAATATAATAAGCGTGAAAGTGGTGATAACAGTTTCTGCCTTTTTTCGTACAAGCTTTACGAAGATATGAATAAAGGCTTTGTGAGCCTTAACCGGAAGCGTAGAATACAGTCACGGTCTTGTATAAAATATTAAGAAATTCTGATATCGATCTCGATCTATCCATTACTCAATTATCCCATTATTATCGTGTCTGCCGTAAATTATTAGCTTCAACATGGTAATTTATGATCCCTTCACGTAAAAATATTATACATGTAAAAAGGTACACCACCGGTTAAGGGTTGAAGGGTTTATCTTGAAAGATTATCCTTCAGGGGTGGCGGAAAGGCACGCTGTACTGCCCGCTCGATTTAACCCTCATAAAGATTACCCCAGCAACACGCACGCATATTTACAGTTTTTGAATATTGTACACTTTGCGGGAAGCGAAAACGGTAGAATTTCGACGAGTTCAATTTTCCGCGTAACGGAAGAATAGATTATTTTAACGTCAATCATCGTCATTTCATCGCACACGTCGTAAATGCATAACTTTTGCGTCCCTACGGCGTCTGTTCTCGAAATTTGTTCACGAAAAGAACGGTTTTGCTGAAGTATCTAAAAATTTAACTGGATACTGAAAATTTTGATGGACTACAGAATTATGTAGAACGCTCAAACTGATTTGTTAGATTTTAGAATGTAAAAATTTTTTTGTAACAATGTTCATTGTTTCATTTTCCTCTACATAATTATTTTAATAATCCAACAAGATTGTTTCCAAATTTGTATCAACTTAATGTCTAAATTTTAAGCAGAATATCATAAGGCTCGTAATATGTTCTCGCAAGACTTGTAAGAACTTACAAGTACTTATAACTTTATGCAATATCTTTACAGACAGCTTCTCGCTAAGATTTACAAGAAATTGTAGGCATTTACAAATCATATGTCTTACGGTACATAAAATTAGAACATGAGTCATAAGTTTTTACAAGTCTTATCGAGAACAAGTTACGAATCTTATACGATTCTGCTTAGAATTGACCTATAAATTTTTAGATACTTTAAAAATTATTTTTTCTGTGTATACTTCGAGTTTATATTTCGAAATAAATTTTACACAAATTTATTTCGAAATTCTTCGCGAATTCTTATCAAAATTAAACCGGTTCCAATCCTCGATGTTTTCACGACCGGTGATTCGTGAAAAATAGAAACTTCCATCTCGCTTGGAAGAACAGAGTTTTTTTTTCATTACACTTTGCACGCATCCCTCGCGTGCAATTAGGTTCCCATAAATCATAATCCGGCTCGTCATAATTCAGTGCCAGAATTTAAATTCGTGAATTGAGTCTTGTTAATTAATCGCTGAGTCTTCGCAACTGTACATTGATTAGGATTATTTAATTAGTAAGATTAATGGAAAAGAAATCGACGTTGAAATGCGAGAATCGAAGGAATCTCGTGAAAAATTTTATTGGAGGTTGAAA